GACTGATCCTCTTTTTCTTTATATGCTTCTTTACAATTCAGCCTAAACATTATAGTAGAAGTCTTAAGAATCTCAGTCTTTCTATTCTTCTTAGGTGATGAGGAAGTCTAAGTAATATGCACTGAAACATGCTCAAGCTCAGGTGTTTTTGGCCTACCAAACAAACTTCTTATTTCTACAATTATTGGATTCTTTATGGAAACCATTTCTCTTCTTATTTCTTCCTTAACTATCTCAATCTCATTCTTAAATGAGAATTCATGCTTTTGAAGACATAAAGTGAACACATCTTCATGAATCTTGAATGTGTAATGAAGCCATCTTCTAGTAGTAGGATCTATTTGCATATCATATTCATTTACAAGGATTGAAGAGCTCAAAGCTATACTTTCTTCCTTAACTCTTCTTTTGGATACTCTTAGTGCAGTTGATATAGAGGGTGCACTAGTGTTAGAAGCTGCATTATGACTCTGATCTTCTTTTTTATCATCAATTATGGGTAGCTGCATCTTCCTTAGAGTAGTGATACCCATGACATAACATATGTTTGTTTTCCCTTCAACATACTTGATCTTTTTATCATCTAAGATTTTGAAAATCAAGGATGCATTAATGAGAAATTATGGAGGCCTCTTGAGTTTCAAATTCACCAATTCTTCCATTTTCTTCATGATAATGTCTGCCAGATTGATTGTGTGACCATTCAATATGGCAATTAAGTATATATATTCCTCGTTGATAAAGGCATTGAAACCTTGTTGCAAAGCATAGTTTGAGTAAGAATATGATGCAACACCCTATGAGTAGGAGGCATGGAAGTAGTCTCGATCATTGGCTTGTTTGTGAATTTCCATGCTGGCACCAAATCTTATAATTATTGGTCTTATCAAATGAAAGTCATTGATCTTTGCCTTTAAACCATCTAAAGCTAGGCCCAATAGTTGAAATGAGTAGATAAGATTAAAAAATCAAGACAAAGAAAACATACCTGTCATACTAGTATGTCTCTGATATACTAGTATGTATATTTCATACCCTAAAGTTTTTCATCATACCAATGCCTTCTCAATCTTTATCAGCCTCTATCATAACGATATGTTGTTTTGATATTGGTATCATTGATTCATACCCCAATGATTCTTAGATACTGGTAAGCCTCCTCCTTTCTCCCTAGTTGTTCAGACCAATATGCACTAGTTCTATTGATATGTGCATGAACAAACCCTAATGTCTTGATAATATTGGAATCTTTTTTTACAAAACACTTAAATGAGAATAGAGAGCCTACAAAAGAGACTAAACATACTCTGATGTTTAAGTTAGTCCCACTATCTAGAAACTTTTTGAAAACAAATGCTCCCTTTGTTTCATATTATAAAAAAGGATAAAGGGAAAAAAATACCCACAAAGTAGTCCACGACGGGCACCCAAAATTCTAAAGTGATGAAAAGGGCAAAAATATCCATAACGTTATATGAATGGATGCAAAAGTAACTAAACCGTTAACTTTAACTTAACACTATTAACTTTGACCATTAAATGCTAACTATGCATGTCACGTGTTAGTCATTGCTGACATGGACTAAAAAAGGGGCAAAAATACTCACAAAGTTATCACCCATGAGCAAAAATACCCATAACATTACCAGAATTAGTGCAAAAGTGACCAATACATCCAATCCTTTAAATGTTGACTGTTTAGCTGACACCTAAGCAAAAGTTGACTTTTTTTCACTAATGTAGAAAAAAAAATATTTCTAGATGAAATTCTCTGGAAGTTAATCAGTTAATGTATGAATATCATGTGAGAAAATATCATTTTGACTGAATATCAAATTAAATTATTTGTTTTTTTTGCAATAGTGGTAAAAATCATTTGAAAATTTTGAATCTATCGTGAATGTAATTGCTTAAGATTGTGACAATGTTCTTAAGTTAGATGTGCTCAATCTTGATCTTTGATTTTAAACAACCTATCTTATTATATTAAATCTCAAGTTTTACAGACAAAAAAAATGAGTAGATAGGGAGAAAGGAAGGGGGTGAGATACGTAGTGATGAAAAGGAACCATATGGTATTGATTTTAACATATTGATCATTATTGCACCTATTAAAGTAATATTATAGGTATTCATATAATGATCGATCAACATCCGTAAAAATTTATTTTGGAATATTTTTTGTCTATATCAGCAAAAAAAAAATAGTTAACTTCTGCTTATGTGTCAACTAAATAGTCAACATTTAAAGGATTGAATGTATTGGTCACTTTTGCACCAATTCTGATAACGTTATGGATATTTTTGCTTCTGGCCGATGACTTCATGGGTATTTTTGCCCCTTTTTAGTCCACGTTAGCAAAGACTGACATGTGGTATGTACAGTCAACATTTAACGGTTAAAGTTAACGGTGTTAAGTCAAAGTTAATAATCTGGTTATTTTTGCACTCATTCATATAACATTGGGTATTTTTGCCCTTTTTATCACTTTAGGATACTGGGTGCCCGTCGCTAACTACTTTATGGGTATTTTTGCCCTTTACCCTATAAAAAAAAACTATCATGTGTTTCATTGTTTCTTGTGAGCAAAACTATACAATTCAAGAAGTATTTATTAGGGAGAATCTCACTTAGGGCCTCAGCACAAAATTTTGCATTTAAGACTCAATATAATTTGAGAACTCTCTATAGGCCCAAAGGCCTTAAATGAAAATATGTGTCAAAAAAAAGATCCATTTGCCCTTGAACATTTTGTTGTCAATTATAGGACATTATGCTGAAAATTTATGAATATTGTATTGTATATTCATGAACATTCTATTGTTCTTTCTTCCTATGCAACTTGTATTTTCCAAGTTAAATCATTTCTACTAGATCAATTATACATTACAAGACATTATGTTGAGATTTTATAAACATCATATTGTACATTCATGGACATATGCAGTTTTTTCGTCCTACACAACTTGTACATTTCAAATTAAACCATTTTCACTAGATTAATTGCACATTACTAGATATTGTGTTGAGAATTTATAGCCATTGTATTGTGCATTCATGGAGCAAAGGAGGGCAAATACATCTTTTCCCATTGAAACATATTTTCACTTAAGGCCTTTGGGCCTGCAAAGAATTTTTAGATTGTATTAAGCTCTAAATGCAAATTTCTGTGCTTTTAGGGCCCTAAGGGATATTCTCCCTGTTTATTATAATTTTTTTGAATTTTCCCTTGTAAAACCAAAGTTTATTTTTACAAGATAAACTTATTTCATTAATCACAAGAGCAATTTAGTCTAAATTTTTAATTTCATACATAATTATTATGTTTAACTAAATTTCTTAAACCATGTGAGTTTGTTAAAATTTATAAGGACTAAAGTCGAGAATATGGGTTAGCCCAAATGATTAGTTATATAGGTCAGGTCGGGTTTGGAAAAAAATTAACCCGCATAAAAATGGATTTTTTCTGGCCTAGATCATATAACTCGTAAATCATATAGGGTTAACGCTAATGAGTTAGGGTTGATCCGTTTAACCCATATTATTTTTTTAAAGAAAGGAAAAAAATTTTATAACATTATAAATTAATGTTTTAATATATTTGGAATGAATCATGCAAGAATATCAAATTAAAACTAATTATTTAGGTGTATTTTAAAAAATCATAAAAAATAAATTAAAATAAATAAATAAATAGGTTGGCGACCCTTAAGGGTTAGGTTGGGTTGGAATTTTTCTAACCCATATAAAAATAGGTTGAACCCAACCCAACCCATATTTCTTTCAACCCATATGGGCCATGTTGTCCTATGTTCTCACCTCTAACAAAGACGATGCCAATGAAGTAAAAGCTTAATTTTATTATGTATGGGAAAAGCTTGATTTTAACTTAATTTAGTCACAAATTATTTCTTCTACTTTGTTAATGTCATCTTTGTGAATGTCTTCAGATCAAAATTCTTTGAACCCCTTTCTCTAGAGCTGAGATTGAGAACGAAGTTGGAGAGATTAATGCTTTATGTGCCTCATAAATATGAAAATAAATGGTGTTTGGTCAAAATTAAAAGGTGTTGGATGGTCCCTTTTTTATAATATAGCTATCCAGTGCTCCTTGAAAAATAGTTCGTGGTTAAATTTGCACCTTTATCATGCTTACATATCGTGTCACGTGTCATTATAGGATTCACATAACGTCTATTAGCTGAAGTTAACGGTAGGCTATAGGCGCTCCATTTTTTAAAGTTTGTGATTTATTTTGTACCATCTAATAGTTTAGACTACTAGATGCTCCTTGAAAAATAATTAGTGATCAAATTTACTACTTTACCCTTTCTAAAATATATATATATATATATATAAAGGCTTAAAAGGGTCAACCCTTTTATTTTCAGGCTTAAAAAGACCAACCTTCTTAAGTCTGATTTACCTTTTTAAAGACTAAAGTAATGGCCTGACCCTTAATTTTCTCGACCTTAAAAAAGCCGGGCCTACTTGCTCGACCTAAGGCTCGACCTTAATTGACGACTCTATATATATTCTTCTTCTTAAAACAATTCTGTTTGAGACCTACCAAGTATTAAATATGAACATTTCTTTCAATAAAAATTCACATTTTGATTCGTCATGTTGTAAGGAATCAATCTCTTTTATTAAACTCAATTCCTATTGGTATTTAATGACTATTATTGCACCAAAGCCAATCTAAAAACTTAAATGAGATACGTCATTTTAAATAGTGCCAATGCCAACAACATCAGGCCCAAAAACTATCCAATATATTATATGCCCACAGAAGTTTCCCTCATTGCAAGAGCATTATAGCACCAAAACCGATCTATAAACTTAAAAGGAGGTATGTATTGATGATAAACTAAGCAGTGTCGTTGACCCCAAAATAAAAAGTCAAATCCTGATATTCCCAAAGCTGGGCATAACTTCTCATAGCAAAGAGGCAGTGAAAACATATAAGCAATAATCAGAAAAAGAATTACAACGAACACAACATAAAAGCAGGGATGCTTATTGGAGTAATTAATACCAGCATGCATGGCATTGCTAGCCACAGCTTGTCCAGGCACAACAAAAACACCATAACTTAACAAAACGTGGTTTAAATTTCGTGGAGATATTATTAACTACGTATGGATAAATACTGTGTCGGCTTGCGGACACCCATATCTGATACATATGATACAGTTAATGTAAATATATATATATATATATATAGAAGATGATCACGTGTTGCAGATTTTATCAAGGGATTCGTCTCTCTGGTGGCCCTATGAACAACTCCGTCTCCACCTCGTTCTCATCATCTTTCCTCGTTGATCCTCGCTCTTCAATCCCACACTGTGCAACATTCATTTTGCAGTTTACATGTCAAAACAATAAGGAGTTAACATATAGGAGACAAGATCTAATCAGATGACCTAGCCTCTGTATATTGGCTCCAAAGTTAATTCAAGGGTTAAAAAGCAAATTAGACTCTAAACTATAAGTTCAGGAACATCTAAAACCTAAACTTATTTTTTATACAATATTCCCCTTCAACTTTTGAAATTAAAACAATGTAATCTAGTGCCTTAACAAAAGTTAACTTTAATCGTTAATTGACCAGAAAATGACCTCAACAATTACAGAAAATGATAAAAAATTTACAATAAATGACCCAAAAATTATAGACAAGAATCAAAAAATTTACAGAAAAATAATCAAGAAAATTTCACTAGACCTTTTCTGAAATTTGAGGTTTTTTTGTGTCATTTTTTCATCAACTAACAATCAAAATTCACTTTTGTTAACAACAGAAGTTAAATTGTACCGTTTTTAAAAGTTGAAAGAAAATATTATGCAGAAAATGAGTTTAAAGTTTCAGACACTCTTGAATCGATGATTTATAGGTTAATTTGCTCTTTTACCCTTGATATAACCACGCTTGTTTCTTCCCAGAAATAACGGACAAGGTTTCAACTGTCAATCTAAAGCATAAGAAGGAGGAGGAACATTACCTGCTCTCGTAACCTTTCATTTTCTTTCAGAAGACATTTTTCCTGGAGTGAAACAAATCATGGAATTCTTCCATTAATTATGAACTAATTAATAAAACCAAAATCATAGGCAGTTATTAATTCACGCATGTACGTACAAGAAGCAATATTAAATTACCTCTTCCCTCAGCTGCTCAATCTGCTCCCTGAACAATTGATTCTGAGTACAGACAGTAACACCACCAAGTTTTGCAATGTTAATTACCTTCCTTAATTATGAATCAACAACTCTATTTGTAATGACGTTGTTCTGCACACAGACACAACGCAAGGGTTTATTGAAAGCTGTTCTGATTCCGATACCTTTCTTGCCCTAATTTTGGTTAAGCTTCGATCCAGCTGTTTCTCTATCTGATTTAGCTCCTCAACGGAAGATGCATCCAAACAATCTCCCAAAAGCTTCCTGCATACATGAATACATGCATATAATATATATATATATATATAAAATCTGAGGTTCCATGAGACTTGAGCCAAGCATGTGCATGTCTTTGTAAATATAGGACTAATCGAAAAGAGACAAGTTTTGATGAACCGCCTACTAGGTGCAGAAATATCATGTATTTTGATATGATTAGATAATTTTTCTCTGGCCATGTATTCACGAGAGAGAGAGAGAGAGAGAGAGGAAGGGGTTTTAAGAAGAAACCTTTTAGAAATTTCAAGATGCTCAAGCTTCTTTTGTATGCCGACGGTTCCATGCTTATCATGCTGCATGCAATTAAGTCACAACTTTCTGTTAGCTAAGATACATTCATTAATTCCATTATTAGTATTATTCCATATCTTGATTGTGTCCAACCATCTAATAAAGGCGGTCACATTTTAAGCGTATAGTATAACATATATTCACTATGGCCTCCCCAGAATTTATCTCATCCTAAAATTGTCCTTATCTCGTTACAAAATGGCCATACTTGTGGAGAAAGCAATCTCTCAAACAGAGTTTCTGTCATTGCCAATGAACAAGAAATAAACAAATAGAAACCAACAATTCCACATGAGAAATTGTTTTTGTTTTCAAGTATTTGTTACATTCGAATTTTAAGATTAAAAAAATTCAAACTTTCTCTGTATAAAATGTAACAGAAAAATGGAAATCAACTTACTCTTGAGGTCATGTGAAGCCACTGATATGCATCAATGCACAACATATATAATCGTTTTCAGGACCTCAATCATTATCAGCTCTGCCCCGTTTAAAATATAATAACTCGCCCACACACACACACACGCCCGAACTTCTATACATAAAAAATATATTCATGATTGGGAAAATTACCTGTGTGTTATCTTGGATTCCTCTGGAGCAGAGACTTAGGTCCTTGACTTTCTTCTGATAACGTTCAACCGTTTTGTTTATACTGTAGCATCTCCAATGAAAGAGGAAAAAAAGGTTGAGATGAAAACTTGCCTGAGTACAAGACTGAAACTTCACATCTTCTCACATGATATCGTTTATAAATGATAAATAATAAAATGTGTTCTGGTTATTTGAGAACATAGACATATAACCATACAAGTAGGTAGAGAAATAACGAAACAAATTTTCACAAGGAAATGTGCTTTTGAAATGAAGCTCAGAAGGAAAATGTTATTCATATTCTCAGTTTTCTCATTAACTTCATGATCCGTTGCATGTATCTTGGCAGCTAGGCTATAAACAGTTTAATGATTTAGTCTCTCAATTATCACGCTCTACTCAATTTAGTCTTCTAAAAAAAACTTCTCTAGCTCAATTAAATCTTCAAAAGATTACGCCCCTTTTAATTTGGTTTTAAAAATAAAGTCCCCATTTCAGTCCCCCCACTAGACAAAAACATCACCTAATGAAGTAAATAAAGTCCCATCAAATGTGTTGGACAGAAATAGGGATGAAATCGGCTAATATCTTTTTCTATTTTATCATTCACATTCTTAAGCCCTTTTGCCCCCATCAATGTATTTGGTTTGTTACCAACAAAGATTGGTTTAGTTGGTAAAGCTTTGACTCACAGCCTAAAAAGTTGTGAGATTAAATCTTGTTATTGATATGAAGACCTTGTTGGTAAGTAATGTAACATCCAAAAAAATTTAAACAAGTTAACTAACAGTAAATGAGTAATTTAGAAATGAAATTGTATTAGAGGATGGTTAGAAAGGGCTAATAGGCCTAGTGGTCTGTGGTTGCAGCTTGAGGATCAGGTCTAGAACGAAGTTAGGCGATCCAGGCTCTTAAAGAGGAAGAAAAACTCAAGAGGCCCCTTGTTGTACCATGCGCCATAGCTCATGCATCACTCAGAAAAGGGAAAACCCATCTCTGTACCATCCACAATGGCACATGCAACATGCACTGTGGTGCATAATCAAAATTTCACAAAAATAAAAGCATTATGTGGTTTGAAAAATTGGAAAAAAAAAAGAGATTTAAAGTAGAAGGAGACAAAGAAGCTCAATAGCTCTGCTAGGGTTGAAATTTTTGAAAGATTGGGAGTATTTTGAATTTATCAAGAACCAAGGGTAAGTCTTCTCCGCTTCCCCCTTCCTCCTCCTTCTTTTTCTCAAGTTTTTGAAGTAATGGTTTGCGTGGAGAAGTGATTTTCAGACTCTTGGGACTATAGATCCAAACTCATTGACTTAAATAGAGATCATGGGAGTTGTTTGAGTTATTTAAGCCTAGGGTTTATGGCTTAAAAAGTTTTTAGATTGTTGGCCTCATTTATGTTCGAAAATGGGCATCAAATGTGGGAGTTGAAGGTTGTTGGGGCTATTAATAATGAATAAAGTGTTTAAGGAAGTTAGTTTGAGTTAAGGAGAGTTAATAAACTCAATAGGTATACTTAAATGTGATAGATTGGGATTGTGGATGTTCAAAGAGTTGAAATAGAAAGGTGGAGATAGTGTAAATGATGCTATTAATGATTGTGGCATGATTAATTGTAGATTAATCACCCTTTTGGCACCATTCAAACTTGGAAAGCTTTAGAAGTATTTTGGTATTGAAAGGTAAACCTTTGACCTTTTGATAATTAGGGAAAATTTAGTTTGTGAATTTGCTTGTCTAATTGTAAATAGATGTTTATAAATTTGTTTGGAACATGTTGTGCTTGCGAACTTGATTTCAATGAGTGGCAATTTGATAACGATTTTATGTGATATGTGAGTAATGAATTCATTAACATTGAGAAAGGCTAAATGTGTGTATTGTGAACATGATGATGATGATGATGTGCGTCGATGAGGTAATATGATGTGATAAGTATAATTCTTATAATGTGAGTATGGGAAATATGTGGTTATGTGAACTAAGCAGATTGAGGATGTGAGGGGATATGATGTTTGAGGGTTGCATGCGATGAATTCAATGCTTGAGAATTTACATGCAAAGAATACGATGATTCAATGTACATGCTATAAGTTAAGCATATGTTGCATTGCATGATCATATGAGGCAGTAGTCTGCTTAGGGAGATGAGTTGATATTGTAAACACAAGTGGTACAGCTGACATTCAGAGCTTGATGGCTTGCCCTTTTAATTATTGTCCCACTTATTCTGCAAGAAACTATCCTATAGGCTATCAACGGACTCAAACCTATCTAACTGCCACTTGTTCCATACGGAGGCTAGTTTAGGACACGACATCTCATAGTGTGCGAGTTGGGAGACTAAGATTCCAAGAATGAGTGTAGTAACCTTAGCCAAATAGCTTCTTACAATTGGAGGGCTTGAGGGAGAATATTCACATAGACAAACCCCTTTGAGCAAATATCCCACGGTTTTAATTGGAGGTATTTGGAGAATATAAGGATGGAGATGATCTTGCATATCATTCTTATGGTCATATGATTGTTATTATTGTAATCTTGCATATTATGGCATATGTCACAAGGTTGGTATTATTGTGACATTATGCATTCTATTTCTTTCTAAGTCACATGATTGTTAGTGTTTTATAATTGATATTTATATACATGGGGATAAATTGGTGTGTGACATATGCCACTTGCATTTATATACTTGATTAACTTCCATTTGTATGAGCTAGCTTGATCTTGGTCACTGAATGATTATACTCACCCCTATTTCTTCAATATTTTACAGGTACTAACTTGAGGTGAGACAGGGAAAAAGCACTGGAGGCTTAGGAATTCATGATTCCTAACCGCAGACCTCCTATTTTGTTTGTGCATATTTATAGTGAAATTGCTAGCTAGGAATTTCATATTGTGGTTTACTTGCACTACTGCTTGATTATGTTGATTGTTGTATTTTAGACCCTAAATTCCTCGTTATGTAATGGAGTTATCCCAGTTATGTAATGGAGTTATCCTAATACAATCAAAATAATAGTGCAAGTAAGATTCTGACTTTATACATGTCTATAAATGATGATAGTGATTTATGACATCCATTTGACCTCCCCTTTTGTCTCTTAGATCAAGGGGATGAGGGTTGAAAATGTGTTATATATGTATTTGTGAGCTGTGGTACTACACAAATGATGTTGAGTCCATTGAGTAGCCTAGGATTGGTTGTGAGCTCTTGGCACTTGGTCAAGAATTTAGGCACCCAAGTTATGTTTAAAGTATGAAAATGTGCGAGATTGCAATTGGGCATCCAACTTCTGATTGGAATATAATTTTGAAATGAAAATAATGCCGTTGGCTAGAGCCTTAAAAGATCTTTTTGTAGACACCTAAATCACCTCAATCGAACGTCAGATAAAAAATTGAGGCACGCTGGAAGGTGGCCCCAGGTGCTGTCATTTGACAGCATCTGTGTTGTCTTGAGCAATGCAATGCGTCACAGCGTATGACACAAAGAATAAGAGCCTTGACGCATGTGCACAAGCCGTGACACATCCCTATGATTTTTACTACTTGATGTTTTTCAACTAACTTTCAAGGGTTTTGACCTTAAAATGGTATCTTATACTTTCGTACTTGTTTTTACTATAATTTAAACTTATTAAAGTTATACTTAATGTGTTTTAAAGTTATAACACTTGAGATCTTACTTTGATTACTTTTGACCTTAATGATTTTTAACTAATGGTAGTACATTCGGGTTAGTCTCATGATTACCAAAATGGGTTAGGTTAAGTGTTGGCTTAGAAAGGGCAACCTTACAGGTGATCTGTCAATAACTCTGTAAGTATACTTTAAGCTTGGAGGCATGTCTTAACCCTGATAAACTCCAGAGCCCAAGTCACCTAAACTTTACTTTACCAAAAAAAATGTATTTGTTTTGTTACCATGTGGGGTTTCATTTTTGTTCTATGATATTTAGTGAGATGCTCCTGTATCATATACATTCGAGTATTTGGCTTTTAGATAGCTATCTTTGGAAATAAGTTGTGGAACATGCATGCCAAAATCACTTTCAACTACGTATTTAGTTCTTATTTGTTATTTAATGAAACGTTATATTGATGGAAAACAAAAATATTAGGGTCTACAAATCTTTCTAAGAGAGACGCACGAAAGGTTGCTTTAGTTAATCCTAAAACCATTTTTTAATGGATGAGATCAAGAGAAAGCATACATAAAGGAATAAATTGAACTACTTTATCTTTCGAAACCAATTAAATTGATAACAAAGTAATCATGTATGAATTAAAATGAAAGATTATAACGTTTAATCTTTAGAAGATCGAACATAATTAAAAGGTGATCATTTAAAACCTAAATTATTAATCAAATATCAAAGTATAGCAAACAATATAATTAGTAACAAGCAGCATTATTTACACAAGTCATGATAAAAAAGTTGTTAGTTGTTTGCTTAAAATTAAATTCGAGGTATTGTGTGTGTGTGTGTGTTCATTCATCTATAAATTATGATGACAAAATATCAATGGGACAAAAGAGAATCATTTTATCTGGGGAATTCAAACTACTTCGACATATCGTTATTCTATATGATAACAAAATCATATGTAGTTATGTATCATAAAAAAGTATTGATATTAGAATGAAATGTCTTCATTCAACATGCATGAAATCCCATATACAGATATCCCTCCCATGTGTTTCATTATGACATACTCTATATATAAGAAAATGACGTAAAAGGTTTAGTTTTATCAACTTGACTTTATTGTGTCTTAATATGATTATTGGTCAAAAATATGTCTTCATCTAATTGCCAACATTTTAACAACTTTAATAAATAATAAACCAAGACCATGCAATCACACCCAGGCATGCTAAGGAAAGAACCATATAGCCAACCTTGTTATCTCAGTACTTTGACGAACAGAATCGGCTAAATTAAGAATCTTGGCAAAGCAAGATCTTCGATAAATTAAAAAGCAATTCTTTATTTCTTTCTTCATTATTGGTGACTTTAAATGTTCTCGAAAAGACAAGTAAACTGTTGTCAAGAAAGAATATTCATGAAGTGATGAAGGTGACCACACACACAGGATTTGGGAATCCATGAAACTACCTTGGATTTCTGCAACCACACAAATGACGCCAAAGCAAATGATATAATATTTGACAGACACAGCATGCAAAAGGAAGGTCCCATTGGCATTGAATACTTAAATAATTCCTATGAAGTTGGTAGTATCTTCATTAAGCTACAGTATTTAATTAGACTGTAGCCACTAACCAAAGCATCTAAACCAAATTTACAAGATTAATTCAAAGAGTATATATGGCGTTTAAGCCGTAATAAAAGAGCTTTCAGTTTCGTGTACTTCTATTCAAAACCTAATAGCATTAATATATTTTAAAAAACCTGCCTTTACCACCCCGCCAAAGAATAACTTATTGGTGCTTAACAGAAACATTTTCTAGAGGAACGAGCGTGTATAAATATATATATATATGTATGCATGTATGTATGTATGTTACTGTTAAGCATGGACAAGCTCTTACTTTGATGTCCATGTTAAACAGTGCCGACAAGATTCCAAGTACGCGATCAGTTCAAAACATGTCTTGTGATCGAACAGCAGCTCATCATCTAAACAAAATATACATCGACAGAAAGCTACGATATGTTTTGGTGATTTCAAAGACTTTTTGAAGGTTAATAATTGCAGTTTTGTGAAGATTTATGAGAAAAAACACACTTTCAAGCGTGGCGATTAATGAAGAATACTTTCACTTGATTAGAAATAAAGCGACCAAATGCTCCTGCAACCTATCTACCTATATATTATATATAATATCAAATCTATAGAAAACCTTTATTATCTATAAATCATTAATCATGTAACTTATACCTCATAGAGTCATACTCCATGCAAAGCGTGGACAGACAACCTAGCTATACGAAAAAACTTTTATCAGGGACAACGTATTACTTAAATAATAATCCATTTTGAAAGTCTCCCCACCCAAAAATAAAAAAAAAAGTTCAAAAAACATGAATTTGAAACTTAGCAGTAAATTTCAGTTCTTTTCATGCTGGCTACCTACCTTTTAAATCAAGTTAAATATAGCCATCAACTTGATCTATTCTACCATTTCTAGTTTTCTATATACTCCACTTCAGTTTTACTTCCTCCGGTTCCTATCATAAAATGCCTTTTAGAGGGATTCTTTGATCTTTAGTATGAGACACTTAATGGGGTATTAATTATATTTTTTTAATATTATCCCTATTTAAACTCATCAACAATCAGAGAAAAAGTAATGAAAATTAAAAAAAAATATTTAAATAAGAGTAAAATTGAAAGTTTATTTTATTTTCAGACAAAGTTAATAACTTGATCTCCTTTCCTTGATTCCAATGAGGTAGTTATAAATGCCTTATAATAAGGACCAATTGGAGTAACAATATCTTCTCTCTCTTTGGTATATTTCAATTTTGAATTAACAAGGATATATGAGATCGAAGTACTACAAAGAGTATATACATTGAAATTTTAAACATGTTTGACTTAAAAGTGAATGGAAAAAATAAAAAAGAAAAATTAAATTTACATTAAATATTAATAAGGTAACACACCACTTTTAGTCCCTCTATTTTTCTAGGGTTTTGATATGAATCCTTGCATTTTTTCTATGTTTTATGTCCCTATACTTTTTTCTATCTGCAACATGGGTCCCCACATTTTTAGAGAGACATGAACGTGACACAAACAATGTTGATAATGCTAACATGTCAATTAACATTGTTAATTTTTTTTACTTACATATCAAACTAATGATGATATGGATTTTTCAATAAGCAAAAAAAAAAAAAAACTACATTAGATGAAATAAACAAGATTTTTTTTTCAAAAACCTTCTATTGCTCATTTAAGAGTCCAGATCAACCCTTTTCATTTCATTTGGTGTAGGCTTTTTTCCTTCCTCTTTCCTAATTTAAAAATCCGCTCAGCAACACAAAATTAACAGTGCTAATTGATATATCAGCATCATTAACACCGTTAACACCGTTTGTACCACATTAACGTCCTTCTAAAAATGTAATAACCAACGCTGCAGATGGAGAAAAGTGTCAAAACCTAGAACCCCCAAAAAAAATACAGGGACCTAAATCAAAATTCAAACAAAGTGCAAAAACCAAGAGTAGTGTTTTCCCTATTAATAAATGTACCAAATTAGAATTTCACTCCATGGACTAGCATTTTATTCCCTTCTCGTACTAGTCAGGTAACACATACATTACATTCACCATGGGTACACTTATAAACTATTCTACCAAAGTTATTCATATTTCTTTCTGTACATGTTAATGTATCGAGCAGTAAGTAGTATGATTCGTCTGTAGCAAAAATATTTTATTGTTCCTTCTCGACGAGAAAGAGACAGAAAGAACAGGAAGAAAATTTATATAGATTATACAAGATAAACTATTATGGGCATTTATTAAAATTCATAAATAGTACGATTATTTTTGTTCATAAAACCACACCCAGTCCCCTAACAATTTTATACACACACACATAGGTAGAACAAGAATCTCTTATTCCATTTATTTTCATCAAAGCAGCTAACCTTTTACATAAGATGACGCTATAGTTTAGTCCTTAATATGAAAAAAAAAAATTAGATTAATCTAAACTCTTACATAAAATTGTTATTTTATTCTTAATATAACTATATATGTAAATAATTATGTAAGTTTACATTAAAGTAACAGAAAATGTATATTACGTCAAAATTAACTATATCATAAAACTAAATAAATTAAAGACAAACAAATATAACGACCTTAGGTGAAAGTAATAGAAATGAACTCTATTTTCCCTGTACACAAAGCGAAATATAATGTCCATCGTATTCTTGCCGTCATTCCAAATAAAGTTTTATTTTTTATTAAAAACATTAAAACACATAGTTTGGTCATTTTACGTACATCCACACCAAACAAATGAACAATATCTTTATTTCTTTCTTAATTTCATTTTTTACTCTATATATTAAAAAAAATCCCTCCTAAGTTTTATTTTATGAAAGAAAAATATGAAGAGAGCCATGTTTGACCTGACTATGAGGTTGACTTTAATTGACAAACCATATTTACATATTCTACTCTATTCTAAAAATTTTGACTAGAGCAGAATGAAAGAGGCAAATGAATCAGTGGGTCTGGTGGGACTTTAAGGTAGTTGCATTATTCATAATTTATAATATATTTTTATTTTGAATATTGATATTTATTATAGTTTATTTTAAAATATGTGATTGCACAGGAAAATATACAAAAGTCAAATTAGGTAAGTACCATCTCAATGGAAAATGGAGAGGCGCTATTATTTCCATGGAAGATGATAGACAGTACAGCTAGCCAACTAGCTTTTGCATAAAGCTAATTTCGTAGTACTATATATCAGCAACAGGCCAATTAGCCTTAACAAGCTTATGACCAGAAAATTCTTCAATATATTATATATCTAAATAGCTACTTATAGCTAGGCACAACAGTAATAAAAACCTCAGTCTCAGCACATCAATCGGGAAAAATTGAATTGTTTCACGTCAAATTAAAATTGAACCAAAAACATGATATTGCAAGTACAGACAGATAAGGGGGGAAAAAACAGTATTATTATGGTGTGTGGGGGATATAAATAAAAGTATATATCATGACTTACCTAGAACTGGAGAATTCATACAGCTTTCCTCTGGGCGAGAAAATTATGAGTGCAACTTCAGCATCACACAGTACAGACAGCTCGAACGCCTTCTTCAACAGCCCATTCCTTCTCTTAGAGAACGTCACTTGCCTGCTCGTGTCATTCTCGATTCGCTTCATCTGAGTTTTTCCCCTCACCATCTTCGCCTTTGATCCCCCCAACACGAATCAACGATCTCGATTCTTCAGCGAAACCTGAACTCGAAATTGACACGGAGTGAGATCTATCTAATCCAGGATTCAAACACACAAGTTGGTATCCGAGAATAGAGAGGGAATAGAGTGATGAGTCTGTCAATATCAGAAACCCTAGGAAAAATTTTCCCCAGGAGAAAGGGGTAAAACGAGAGAAAGGAATTTATATATGCATATATACAACTGAATGATCGATTGAGCGTTGCAAACCCCTCACCTTCACTTTCCTGTTAAGCCTCATCGATCAGTGAGAGGAATTGAACGAGAAATCTTGAGATTTAAAGAGGGAAAAAGGCAAAGACCACTGAGAGACCAGATGAGAACCTAATCTCTTTTCTTTTTTGGGTAAACGCACAAAAAAATATCTGCCCTTCCCAAATTAAGAAAACCACAGAATAAATGCCTCTCCCCGCCACGTGAATCCATAAACGAGGCATTTCTTTTTCCCCACAGGGGAGGCACAAGTGAGTGCCATCACGTTAGCTCGTGACACGTGGGCGCATTGACCGACAACCTGTGATTCCAGTGATCGTCACAGGGGCAGGGGGCGAGAGGAAGCGGGGAATAGAGAGCAAAGTTGTCGGTTGCCAGTCACTTGGGGACCAGTTGAGACCAATGAAATGCGCGGAAGAGAAACTGGCAAGGCATCGAATGGAGCAAATTAGTTAATTAGGGGGTGTCCGTACGAGCCACGTCATGGATTGAAGAATTACAGGCACCAGGGCATCTGAAGTGGAGGTGGGGAGGGGGACAGTGTCACGTGTCACCAGCATGTGGGGCGGAATTCACTGCCCTTGCCCTGACTGCTGGCTCAAAAGGAAATAGAATAAATAATTATTTATTTTTTCCAAATGCTTCCTCATCCCCAAATTACAAGATAATTTAAAAAAAATATTATTATTTTAAAATATAAAATAATTTGATATTAAAAAATTTATTAATATTTTTAAATATTATCCTTGAAGTGAAAAAAATAATTAAAATGATTGTAATATAATAATTAAATATGTAAGGATATTTTTAAAAATTTATATTTTTGTTTTGAAAATGTAAATTTAAAAAGTATTATTATTGAACTTTATTGATATGTGTAATTTTATGAAATAATTTGAGACGGAGGGAATACTATCTCCATACCAATGAACTCGATATAATATAAAGGATTAATCTCTCACAATATAATGAATCAAATTTCAAATTTCTCTTAAAAAAAGTGCTCACATTTAGGATTCGATATTAATTATTTGGAATATAATTTATAAATAGAATCACAAGAATACTCCCTCCATTTTTTATTATTAGAAAAATTATCACTTTTGACTTATATTTTCTTATAAACAAAATCACTCATTCTAATAAGCATTTATTATACATTACTTAAATCACCCCTCATAATTTACATTAACAAGAAACAATTAATGTATGGTTATGTTGATTAATATAAGACATTTTAATCTATTTTTTTATTTTCAAATATAATTATTATAGTCAACAAACTTTCTTAAAATGTGTGATATATTTTTTCTCTTATATATATAAAAATGGAGGTAGTAAGTTTTAAAATTTTCCTTAATTTTAATTAAAAATGCTAGAAATGAATTATAAATAAAACTAAAAAATATATAATAAATAAGTTACTTTTTTAGAAGACATAAATAATCATTTTTATAAGTTACACAAAAAGATAGATGATTGATTACTTTTTTTCAATTTTTTTTCATATTTAAAAGATAACATGCTTTCAAAAATAATACATTTCATAAGTATAAATAAAAAAATTCCTTTTTCAAATAATATTAATAATTTAACTACATCTTCTTAATTTTAATGAGATAGTTAAAAATGACTCTATATAATATGGAATCAGTAACCTTTTTTTGTTATTTATTATTCATACTCGTACATTAGTACTCACGCAACATTATTTGTTATTTATAAGTTTATTTTTAATTGGTCATAATTCTACACTTGAAAAACAAAGTAAACTAATAATAGTAGAAAATTATAGAATGAATTTCAATTTTTTTTGTTTGTACATATATAAATATTACTGAATTGAAGACAAATCCAAATATGATCAAATATTAAATATGAATATTTTTATAAATGAAAGATTCAATTATACTCCTTCCGTTAAAAAATATAAGGTATTTTTAACCAAATCTCACCCTCCAATAAAGTAGTTGCCTAATTTTTAACTAATCCTATCTTTCCATATTTATCTCTTTTAAACACCCTAAAATAAATATAAAATCATTATCAATAAGGATACTTTTGAAAAAAAAGATAATGATTATACGTTAAAAGATTAAAAATATTTTATATTTTTAAACATTCAATTTTTCAAAAAATACTTTATATTTTTTAAGCGGAAGGAGTATTTTTTTATCTATGTCCAGACACTTTGAAGTTTGAACAACAAACAAAAAAAACTGAGGGAGTACACTCTTCAAATGGTTCGATGATGCTAGTTTTCTTTTCTTTTCTTTTTTTTAAGCTCGTTTTAGATTGTCCCTAATACTCAAAAAGATAATAGTCCATGTCCATTTATTCCAACATAATTGATTTGATTTTGATCTAAAATAATTGACACTTCATGTTTTTTATAAAATTATTAATTATTTTTCTCAGCAATTTTTACATGTACGAAAACAGTCTTCTAAACTAGCTTTTATATTATACTCCGTTTCTCTCTGTAACAAAATATAGAGCATTAGTAATTAATTTATGGTTTTCAATCTAAAACCTTAATTTCTTAAAAAAAATTTATCTTTTTAATTTTACACTCATTAAATACTCTATATAAATATTTTGATAATGATAATTAAAATTTTTGTTAAATATGGCAACACATTCAAGAGAGAGTGAATTGAGTGTTCAAGAAATTTTTTATTTTCTTAAAACTTTTTCAGTAAAACTGTGTGAAAAGAAAAGTTTAAGCAAATTCAAGTATTAAACTCTTATTGCAAGAATGTTAAAGTTATTTTTATGAGATCAATATGTATAAAAATAATTTCTAAGTGAAAGTTTGAGTAAGAACATGTAAATATATCAAATTTAATTTTGTACACTAAAACATAACATAAACTAAGGTTACTAAAAATATAAAGAGTTAAGGGAAGAGAAAGTGCAAACTATGATTTATCCTAATTCAACTTCACTACTTGAGCCTACGTCCAGTCCCTAAGTAATTACTTAAAATTTTTTCACTATAACACAAGTTTAAATGGGTGCTTGCCACCTTAGTATAACTACAAGTTTAGTTTGAGCACTTATGAGCTTTTATAGCAACTCACTTTTATTAGTAAGCTTTTTTTTCCCAAGAGAACAACTTCTCTTGTAATCAAGGGAAATCTACCCCTCACTTTTACAATGATTTTGATTATATAAATCACTCAATTAAAACTCTCTCTAAGAGCAATAATAAACACAATGAAGCTCTAATAAGATATAAATTATATTGGCTTAAGAACAATGATTTTCATATAATAAAAGTAATATGAACATGAATTTCATAACTTGATGATTTTTAAGCTTAATCTCCTCTTAAGATAAGCTTGGAGTGTTATATTTATAACTCATGAAGTGAAATAAGTGTTAAAGACATAATATGAATGTTTATATAGTCGTTACACAATGATTATAGCTGTTGGTGATGTTTTCATTTTGAACAAAACTCATTCATGCATGAAATGACAATTTTCACATGTGCAGGTAACAAATCTCACTTGAAACGTGACAAATCACGCTTAAAATGTTATGTGGCATTGCATAGGTGACAAATCACACATAGATAAGAAGCGATTCAAGCTTGATTTAGACCACAAAAGCTATTGGGTCAAAATAAGGCTTTTGGGTGACATTTCACACATGTATGGGAAGTGATTCATGCGTAATTTGGATATTGAAACTTTTTAAGGATGTTTCCACATGTTTGCAGGTTTGAATCACGCGTGTTTTGAAGAGTGCCACTTTGAATCACGCGTGTTTTGAAGAGTGCCACTGCACATAATTTCATAAGGCTCTAAGTCATTCAATACAACTTCAAATTAACAAATTATATATTTTTATAAAGCTCTTGAAGTTTAGTTTTTAATAAAAAAGTTTTATACTTAAATTCAACATAACTTTTGATATATGATTAAAAGAGTGAATGAAAGTCAACTCTAAATATAGTGCAGAAACAATATCTCAACACTCAACTTCTAAAATTCATATATTTTTTAATAGAACTCCATTTTGAATAAATGAACTATCATTGAAAAGATGTTGAAGTCTATTTTTGAATGAGATATGTTTCATATTAAAATAATCTACGTAGTGAGAGATATGATAAAAAAACATGACTAAAGGTCAAATATAATTTTCTGCACAATTTTCATTTCAAAGCTTAAATTTCAAGTATTCATGACTTTTACAATTTAACTCCATTTTGAGTAAATAGAACAACTTTAAAAATTTTATAGATTTATTAATCAAAAAATTTCAAACTTTGTGAGATATATGTGATCAAAGATGAAAAACATGATTATAGAAAATTATATCTCACACTTTCTCTTAATGGCTAAAATGCATATTTTCATTTAAAATATTGAGTTAATATTTTATATCTAAATTAATGAGTTTAACATAAAGACTTTTAACCTAATAATATCTTACCTATCAAGTTTAAGGCTTTTAAGGTGCATCCAAGCTTGTATGAATGTCTTCAATCTTTTTAAGCTCTTCTTGGATCATTATTTTCTTTATATTCTCTCATCTTGAGTGTGGCATGCATGCTAATGATGTCTTTGATTTCTTCATCTTTATGCTTGCTCTCATTTTTATTTTGAACAACCTTAAATGATATATCATGAATAAAAGGATTAGTTTAAGTATCAATATGTACATAATTATTGATATGAAGATTATGGTATTATGCATATAGTTAATGCATCTATATTTGTCATCGTCAAAATTTAAGTTAAATATAATATCATAAGCCATTATGTCTAACAATTTTAATGTATCATTTTTCAAAAAGAGTAATAAATAAAGTAGGATATAATTGAAAAATAATTATAAAAGTTACCTAATACCTTATATTTTATATTAAATAAAACTTCTAAAAAATGACTTTTATTATGGTACGACAAGAGAAAACAATTCCCATACGGCTGCACCAATGATTTAAATCGTGTTCATTAGACTTTCTAAACTAGACATATGCACAACCAGTTTGAAAAGTTTTTTTAATTTTTTCTAGATTTATTTTCTTCTTACTGAACTGGTTTTGTTGACAAACAGTTTAGAAAGGCTTTTATTTTTCTTGAAAATTAATTTTTAAAATTATATTTCAGAGCGAGTATGCTATCACTTGGTTTAGAAAATATTTTAGTTTTTTTAAAATTAATTTCTT